GCTTACATGTACTTGTGTGCTTTTGGTGAAAGAGTAGTTAGGCACTTTGAGGTATATTTCATGAATGATTCTTTACTTTGTTGAATAAAATAAGAAAATTTTGAAAGCTTGCCAGAATGAACTCCTGCCTCATAGAATAAGAATAGGAATAGCTTTATTGGTCTAGTGTAATTGGACACCCAAGAAATTTGCTTCCAGTGCAGATGCTGTCAGTGTACGTACAAACAGCAAAGTAATATAATCATAATAATGATACTACTAAGAGAAGGTAGGAGAAAAAGATGAGAAAGATAATAGTAACACTGCCATACTACATGGGTAAATATCCATAGACATAAGACAGTATTGTGATGGTATTCTTTTGAATTTCTCATATCTTCTTCACCAGGACTGGTTTGTTTTGACTTTTATTGCGTCTTGCATTAGTTATCTCTAAACTAATCAACACTGGGTTTATAATATATATGTGAAGACTGTGCTGCTACCATAGTTCAAAACGCCATTCTGGGTGGAATCAGCTATTTATTTATTTACCCACTTATTTATCTCATTGTTAAACATCTCCGTCACAGGATGACTCCGTTACTGGGAATTGGGCATAGTTGCCCTTTGGATTGATTTTTATTTGTGTCTGGAGGAAGGATTACATTTCTTTCAACTCCATAGAAAAATCAGTGCCTGCACAATCTTTGCAGGTATAGGCACATCATGATATCTGAATATCTTTTCTGAGGTCTTCATTGCTACTCTACCAAATTCTAAAGTGTTGGTTCTTTACTGTCAGTAGTTGATTTTAAAAGACAGAAAATAGCCACTGCTACAATATCTTTTAATTCTAAAATAGGTTTCTGTACTTGCTGTCATTAGTTTGGCCTTTTTATATTTAATCTTAATCTTATTTTATACTTTTCTCTATAACTTTAATTATAGAGCTTGCAGATCATTTTCAGCTATCAGAGAAGTATCATCCACACATTGCAGGTTACTGGTTTCTTTCTCCAGTTTATGCTCATCTTCTTTTAATCCAGCTTCCTTAGATCTATATTCAGTTTTAAGGCCTGTGGGAGGTTCTTTTTGTTCTGTCAATCAAATTAACCCTAGACTTAATGAAGCCCTGATAAGTATCTGGCACAGTAAGTTTTTTTTTCTTGTTTACTAACAGAAAGACATGTTATACACAATGTGTATTATACAGAACTTCAAAGGAGTAACAAAATTACAAATTACAAACAATAATTAGATTTGTATAGAAAGTAAAGAGAATGACCCTGATAGAAATATGCACGTTGTCAAGGAAACAAGGACTGAAACATTTTTTAATTTCAGAACATCAAGATAATGTTCAGACTCCTCTCTAATTCTCCGAACTATAAGGAAGATGTACAGCACAATTAGATTGTAAGTTTCTGTTATTATAGCTAACCTCATAAAAGTTGTTTTAGCCTTCTTAAATTGATTTGTCTGGTCTACCTAATGAGGGTAGCAGTTTGTATCTCTATCTAACCCAATATATATTTATATTATATATGCTATAATCCTATGCTACAGTCCTAATTTATTATATTATTTAGCCCTATATTATGCTACTATGCTGCTAATATCCTATTTCTGCTTTACTTCCTTTCCACCTTCGGACTTTTCCCCCCTTTCTCCTGGAATCTGCTTCATCATCTGACTGTTAATGGTCTTGCCTTGTTGAATTTTATTAAACTCGTTATCATCCCAATAGAGACCAGTAGATGGCGTTCCTGAGTCTTTTTTAGCATCCTCTGCCTTCTGGTTTCTCTTACACAGGAATGTCCTTGAATCTTCCCACTTAGTTCCCTTTGTTTTTGTAAGAGATTTACCTTTGAGAGGAAAGAATGGTGGGAGCAACAAAGAAACAACACAACACACACTTCCCCAGGCTTCCTGCAGAAAATCCCCAGGAGTTGTCACTTAGCAGAGATTTCAATTTGTGCAGCTTCCTTTGGGATCTCATTCTGTTTAGTCACACAGTATTCTCCTCTGGAGAAGCCAGCTTTATTTTGGATAGGTTCTGGTTTTTTTGATTCCTGAATTCTCAGTTCAAAACACTAATGCACACACACATCCTTCTCCAACTTCCTCCACAGCCAGTCTGTGAAAAAGAAGCTGGAAAAAGACAAAGGGAACTGAGGGAAGTAGCATGTAATAAGTTTGCCAATGCTCAGATGTTTTTCTGCAAGGTTGAATGAATGAATGAATGAATGAATGAATGAATGGTATATACCTTGTCTCACTGGAGCAGTCTATTTTGTCATGTTTGGTTCAGGCTGTGTCATCCTGACCTGAATTCACATGACCACAATGAGTTGTTCTGGGATGCTCATTTTTCTAAGCACATTCCACAATTCAACATTATCAAGGGCCTTTGTATAGTTAAATTCTTTGGCCTTCTCAATTATCCATTGACCATGAGAAAAAATTGTTACTCAGCCATTTCTAAAATCAGTTTCTATATCTGGTATTTCTCTTTCCATGCAAGGTTCTAATTTGGTGTGTGATAGTCCAAAGCATTATTTCCCTAGCAGGTCAAATGAAGGATATTGTACAATAGTTTCCACACTCTATTGAGTCTTTGATTTTGGTACATAGATTAAGCTCTTCAATCTGATGGCCACTATGACTTTTGCTTCCACTTTACCATTGACTAGAACATAAAGTGGGATTAACATTACATTGAAATGCTTGCCTTGAATTCAAATTGATATTTTATCATTTCTGGTTTATATTTAATAATGACTTTGACATCTTTTTTTTTTAGTAAAGACAGCTACCCATTTTTCCATTGTTCTCAGTAGATCTGATGCTCCTTTGATGTTACATGATCCGCCCTAGTCCATGATTCCTAGGATATCAATGTTTAATTTTAATATTTTTGTTCACACAGCAGCACATTTGTCTTGATTCTGATACTCCATGTACCATGGTGCACTTTGCAGCAACTTTTTTTCTGCTTCTGGGCACATTAGCAGCTGGACATCCTTTTGGCTTTAATCCAGCCATCTAATAAGCACCAGTGCTACTAAGATTTTCATTTGGCTCTTTTCCAGTAGCTCATTCTGACCTGGGGGAGGCTCATCTTTCAATAACATGTTCTGAATGTCCATTTAGCTTTCTTGCAGAATAAGGGAGTGAAGCTCTATTTTTCTCTCTAATGGGTTGTATTTAATCTAATCCCTTTTCTCTGTATTGCCTGTCATGGGTGACCCTTCTGGAACTGTATATTCTCAACATGATAGTTTAGAATATACAATTCCTTTACTACCTCAAGGTAACGGTTTGCATTATAGAGTATCAGAAGGATAAATCCATACATAGTGTGTAACAGTAAACTGTTTAAGTATTTTTGTCAATATTTGAGAGAATTCTTACTTTTTTTAAGAAGATGCATGGAAGAGTTCTTTTTTGAGCAACATGGTAAATGTTTTTTGAGTTCTTATGCTCATGATTCTTTTCCAAGCTGTTTTTTAAAAAAAGAATCACATGTATATGGTTTTTACATGATTATCTTCTCAATTTTTATTAATTAATCAGTATTACCTGGTTGTGGTTGCTGCTGGTATTATTTACTACATTAATGCATATACCACCTAATCAAGATTTGGGGTGGTTACAATAATAAAAATGTAATAAAATGCCAAGTGTAAAACCATAAGGTAATATCATCCTTTTATAAAATATATACTAAAAACACTCATTTCCAAACCCACCCCTCCTGTAAACCCATGCATCAAAATAAAAACAGAACAATAGCCCAACATTATTATTAACATTCAAAACCCTATGTAACAACATTGTTTTAATAGCTTTGTGGAGGTTGGTAGCCTGATGTGCAGGACAGAGAAAAGGATATTTAAGAAAAGGTATTCAATAAAAGAGACAATAAACAACATTTAAGTCCTTTATTATACCCTACAGCAACAGAGATCCAGTAGTCTCTGCAGTGGTATCCACCTTAAAGGATTGAATAGATAAGGACTAGATGTTTCTGGATCCCTATTAACCTCCTTTGGATCAGAATCCTGAGCATCCCCTTCTGAATTAAGCGCACAAAGGGGGTTAAATTAAACAGAAACAGGAGCAAATTATAAAGCAAATTAATCTCCCCTTGAATTGCATTTATCTATTATTATTAAGAAATATTTTTATAAGATATGCAAGTGAGTGGAGTTAATACAACTACAAGTAGTTACAGGTTTTGTTTGAAGCAAAAGTTAGATTAGCAGCGATACTGAAAAGGGAATGGAGATACCCCATACTGCCATCTAGTGCAACAAATGATATGGACACTTATTAAATCAAACATTAAAGCTAATATCATATATAAAAACTCTTTGCAACAAAGTCCAGTTCTAGTTTCAGTTTCAAGTTTTTTATTGATTTTACAATATTACATTTACATATTTGAAAAGTAGCGTGGCGGCTGAGCACAGTAATTCCGTTACATTTGAATATCATCAGTACAAATCTCAAATTATTACAACAAACTAATTCCCTCTCTTTCCCCCATGATATCTACTGCCATGTTCAAACCAATATAGTTCTTATTCTATTAATCAAACAAAAAATATCTTTCTAGTATTCATCAATAATCTTCAGTCTATACATATCTTAATTAATTTGACATTCCACCTTTTAGACAATAACCTAGTAAGTTTTTCTTAACTTTAATTTCCCATTGATATTTAAGTTTAACATTTAATCTTTATCATTTAAATGATCCCAATTTAAATGATCCCAATTTCTCAGTTTCCTATCTCACATTTGGAGTTAATCTTTTTTTTTTCTTCCTTCTACTTCCTTCTTTTCTTCCTTTCCAGAAAGAGAAAAAAAAATAAAAATAAACCACCAACATTTATACCACAAATCCATATACAAATTTAATTATTAGTACTTATACTTTTAAGTTTTACTTAACCTTTGTCTCAACTCATAACAATATCTTAAATTCAAATCTTAATTATTTGTAGACATTCAGATTACATTTAATATTTAATTTTTCCAAATTTTTAATTAAACACAATTCCTTTATCCCAATTTACTCATACATTCTAATATTTTAAATACACACCTTATATATAAATTTTCCCTGCAGGGCAACCCAGCCAGCAGCGTCCTACTCTTGTCATTTCAGGGAGGAGGGAGAGGAAGAAGAAGAAGGCATCTGCCCAGCGGGCTGCCAGCTCCGCCTCCTCGCAACGGAGAAGTGCTTTGAGCCAGATGGCAGGTTATAAAACTCAAAGCGGGATGGGAGGGCCTACGAAGCCACTGCTCCTCCGTGGGTGGACGGATAGCTGGACGGCTAGGAAAGTTCCCCGACTCTTCTGCTGTGGAGGAAAAAAGCCAAGCTTCGAGATCTCTTGAGCAGGCGCGCAGACGCGACTGAGCTTGCAAGAAGCCCGGCAAGCTTTACATTGAGGCGGGTGGTTTATAAAAGTAAGAAGCGGTCTCCTCATGCTCCGGAGTGGGGGAGGGATGGTGGTATGTCCGTTCGCTTCTCAGAAAAAGCTGCTCGGGACATCTCCATTGCTAAAAGATAATGCCCTTGCTTTCCTATGATGTCAAAGGTATCCTACATTAGTAAAAAAACAAAACACAATCCTCATGCAAAAACAGCCCACCCGTGATAATGCAAAACCTAATGAAGAGCGTAGCTGTTTTTATTACTCTTATCACAACTCTTAGAAGTAAGTTGGTGGCAGTTGCTGCACAGGAGTTAACTGAGCCATACGTATTTGTGGTGTATACCAGTGAATACTTGCTTTGAATTGAATTGAGCATCCTCCAAAATTCCCCTGAATCCCAAGGGTGCGCAAGGATTCCTGGGCAGACTAAATGATGTGGAAATTATTCCCTCAAGGATCGAGGTTTAGAAACAACTCCCATTCAGGAGAAAAGAGTAATATCCTTGCATCTAAGGAAGTTTCTGCTATGACGCTATTTATGTTAAGGACCCTGTTTTCGCACTTTCAACCAAGTCAAGGAAGATTAGCTAACAATGAAAATACATCCTGCATATCAGATATTTACATTATTTCATAACAGTAGCAAAATTACAGTTATGAAGTAGCAATGAAAATAATTTTATGGTTGGGGGTCATCAGGAACTGTATTAAAGGGTCGCGGCATTAGGAAGGTTGAGAACCACTGGTCTAAGGTGAAGGAGTTGAAGGCAAAAAGACGAGTATCTGGAGGTTTATGAGAGAAAGTCCTCTATCTATGGGCACAAATGATGTAATCCCTGTATGCTTCGGGTGCCTTCTAAGGCAGATTTGGATGCCTGGATGTTCAATGTGGGGTAGACAACATGGCGCCTGAGAAGCGGGAAAAAAATTTTGAGCTGTCTGAGGGGCGATCCAAAATGGCGCCCGCGACTGATGAGGCGAGGAGGCTAGCAATGTTTGGCAAACAGCCGTTCTAAATGGCTGTAAATGGCGGCCGCGCAGTCGAAACTAGAAAAACTCAGAGAGCTGGCTGCAGCTATTGCAAAGCTGAGACTATCAAATCGCCAGCTCTAAAATGCAGGCGCCGTCTCCCTCTCACTACCTCCGTTCCTCCGTTCCTCCACCGTTTATCTCCCGATGCTCCAAAATGGCGGCCATGCAGCCGAAGTGAGAAAGAAGCTTAAGGCTAGCTGCAGCTGCTACCAGGCTGAAGCGATCAAAACGCCAGCCCTAAGGTGCAGAGAGAGGAGTTAGTGCAACCTCATTCTAGCTTCCACTCTCTTCTTCTCACTAACGGCAAAACGAAGTCTCAGAAAAGATTTCGTCCTCCGCGCCGAACAGCTGATAGGCACGACCACCGCGGCATCTCCTGACAGCACTGGGGTTCTGATGCCAAAAGGCAGCCGGCGGAGGCGAAGGGAGCTCGTTAGTGAGTGTGGCTTAGCCGGCAGTAATGAGAGCTAATAATCTAGCTGACTCTAATTCCCCCAGCTGTAGTTGGGTTCTAAATGGGGAAAAGTCCTTCCGATAGAATGAAGGTTGGCGGCTCTAATAACGGCCGCAACTCAAACTAGGGGCTGATAGTGAGAAGAGAGAGAGAGAGAGAGAGAGAGAGAGAGAGAGAGAGAGAGAGAGAGGCTGCAGGTGACAGCAACCCAAAGGCTCTAATCAGCAGGAATGAAACAGGGGCTGTGTAGCCTCTGACATTCCTACTGAGGAGAATCCACTAATGGGCTAAGAAGAAAAAAGAAAAATGTTTCATTTAAGTCAAACCTGCCTGAGGAAAGAATTTGGGAGTCAAAATTGTCACGTCCTTCTGGGCGAACAGACTAAATTGAAACTGGGAGGTTCCAGGCCAGGACGGGCGTGACAACTTAGTCTGATTGGACAGGAGGACTGAATTAACCCATTGGTGGATTCTCCATCCATCACGCTGGAGAAGGGCCTTAGTAAGAGAGGTGACCAAGAACCTGATGGCCACTCTGACTGAGCTCCAGAGATCCTATGTGGAGATGGGAAAGAGTTCCAAAAAAATAACCATCAACGCAGCCCTCCAACGATCTGGGCTTTTTGGCAGAGTGGCTAGACTGAAGCCTCTCCTCAGTGCAAAACACATGAAAGCCCGCTGAAGGACTCTCAGACTGTGAGATACAAGATTCTCTGGTCTGATGAAACCAAGATTGAACTGTTTGGCCTCAATTATGCCTGGAGGAAACCAGGTACCTATCATCACCTGCCCAATATCATCTCAACAGTGAAGCATGGTGGTGGCAGCATCATGCTGTGGGGATGTTTTTTTAGTAGCAGGGACTGGGAGACTTGTCAGGGTTGAAGGAAAGCTGAATGGAGCAAAGTACAGAAATATCTTTAATGAATATCTGTTCCATAGTGTTCAGGACCTCAGACTGGGCCCAAGGTTCACTTTCCAACATGACAATGATCCTACGTACACAGCCAAGACAACACAGGAGTGGCTTAGAGACAACTCTGTGAATGTCCTAGAATGGCCCAGTCAGAGCCCTGACTTGAACCCTATTGAAAATCTCTGGAGTGACTTGAAGATGGCTATCCACCAATGGTCACCACCAACCTGACTGAACTTGAGAAGATTTGCAAGGAAGAATGGCAGAAAATCCCCCAATCTAGGTGTGCAAAGCTTGTTGCGTCATACCCCCAAAAATTCAGTGTAACTGCTACCAAAGGTGCTTCAACAAAGTGCTGAGTAAAGGGTCTAAATACTTACGCCAATATGATATTCAGTTTTTTTAAATAAATTTACAGACATTTCTAAAATTCTGTTTTCACTTTGTCATTATGGGGTACCGAGTGTAGATTAACAAGAAAAAAAAAGTATTTTAACAACTGTAGAATCGGGCTGCAGCATAACAAAATTGACAAAAGTGACAGGGGTCTGAATATTTTCTGAATGCACTGTTTATCTCTGAATAGCTCCCTGCATTTTTAAGAACTATTCCTGTACATTAGAAGCTTGACCATTGTTGAACCTTGCAAGGAAACTTGCAAGTTGCTCAGGTAAGGAAATATTTCTGAAATGATGGCCCAATGGGTCATGCGTTGTCTACTGATAATACAATGATGATTATAATAATAATTTAAATAGATATATTATAGCTTTTTTTAAAAAAAAGCCTTTTAAAAGCAGTGATTGAAGTAGGCTTGCTAAAAATATAAAGTCATATTGTGCAATTCTTATAACTCCATTTTAAAATCAAAAGTACAAAAGAAAAACCTTTGCTTACCTTTGCTTTTTTAAAAAATAAGAATATCTTTCAAACCTTCAGTATTATTTGAAAGGAATCCTATGTTTGTTGCTTCAAAGGAGAGGCACTGCAGAATCAGAAATTAAAATACAGTTTTATGATTTCAAACTTATGGAGCTTTACGGGACACACTCCCATATAAATGGCCAGATTCATATCTTACACTGACATGACCGTTTGAAGTTTCTTTTTAACTATATTTTATTGAATAATTTACAACAAGCTGATTTTCCACAACACAACATGGTAAGTCATGAACTGTGTTTTATAAACCAGTGTCCAGGTTACCATAAAACAGTAAAGCCCAAAAACAAACAAACCAATTTATAGCTGTGATAGGCAAGCCTAACTGATGAATTGGCAAATGTTTTAGGGCAGTGATGGCGAATCTTTTAGAGACTGAGTGCTCAAACTGCAACCCAAAACCCACTTATTTATCACCGGGTGCCAGGTGGGCGTGGCCCACTGGATGGACATGGCTGTGGTGGTCATGGCAGAGTGGGTGGGTGTGGCCAAGGTGGGCATGATCACCTCAATGTTGCTCATGGGGAGGGATGCCTATGGGGGCCGGGCAGGGGGAGATCCAGGGGGTCTCTGGCAGGTGGGGCGGTGGGCAGGAGGCTCATCCTGCGTGGAGAGGTGAGGCAGGGTGGGGTGCCACAGGGCAAGGTGAGGTAGGAGCTGGGGCAGCTGCTGCCTGACACCATCGGCCCCTGCACAGAGGCCAGCGAGCGCATGGGTGCTGGGATGCATCCAGCCACATGGGACCTCGGCGAGTTAGCGGGCAGCTGGTTGAAGAGGGACGGTTGCATGGCGCATGTGCCCACAGAGAGGCTCTGAGTGGCGTCTCTGGCACCACTGTTTTAGGGAGATGAAGTTAGGTTTAATACATTTTTTTCTAAATTTTATTAATTTTGCATGTTATCACTATTTCTTTAAGCTGTATCTTTTACAATAAAATAAAGCCAGTATAGTTATTTTATGGCCCTGAAAATACCAACTACTTACAAATAATGACATCTAAAAATGAGTCAAATGTGCAGACTAGGGATAGAGAACAGAGGCATAGCCTCTAATTTCTCAGTATTCTCCCTTGCAGCCAAAATGACATGCAACAGATAAAAAGTCTCATTAGTGATTCTGGATTTTAATCTAGGATACATCACTTCAGTGAAAGGTATACAAGGGCAACAGCCAGAACCAATGCAATAAATATAACACAATACAACATATGAAGACTATAGCAATAAAACTAAACACAGTTACTGGTAAGTACTCCATTCCTGGTTGGCAGCTGCTCCGTAACACTGAAGTTTCCAAACACTTCCAGACATTTAAGTCTTTTCAAGCTTCTGAAAGGCCACAGAAGGAGGAGATAACCTCATCTCAGGGAAAAGGCTTTCCAGAAAACTATTAGAAAACTATTAGAAAATACCTGTTTTGGGTCCCCTCTTGTCACACCTTTTGATAGTTGAGGACCTTTAATGGCACTCTATTGTCCCCTCAGACCGGGCAAGTAGCATCTTCATGGAATAGACAGTTTCAAAGATATCTAAATATTCAAGTAGTAAAGCAGTTAAAAGTATAACTTGAAATTAAGAATAAAAGAATAAAAAGCAATAAATCAAACAGCGTTGTATTTCCAACACGAAAGGGGAAAAAGCCACTATTTATAATAGGATTATATAAATTGCTATCAGCAAATGATAGTTATTTATAAAATTTCCACAAACTTACTAATGGTGATCTCTCAATAGTGTACAACACTGTCCACAGGAAAATACTGTTCAATCTTTTTAATAAAAAAAAACCTACAATGTAGCTCTTAGAAGCTGGGCAGTCACAGCCCAAAGCATTTATTTAACAACTGCTGGGTTGATGTCTTAGATCAATCTTGCACAAACTAATGCTCTCCAGATATCCATGCTGCTGCAAATCACTGGGGGTTTATACATCATCATATCTGCATGGCAAAGGCTTAAGGACCTTATTATAAATATTTGAAAGTATTTCAATTTTACTACAGAACTTTCATAGCCAAATTTTTTCCCTCTTGGAAATGTTTTAATATTATTTATTCCACAATCCCATTCACAGCTTCTAATTTTCATTCTTCATTCCTTCTGATGTTTGCAATATTATAGCTATATTGGCTAAAATATAAATACAATACTTTCGGGAGTAGATTTCTCTTTTATTGTAACTATAACACAATGACTTATTTATAAAATAATTTATAAAGATACACTAAAATTGCTTCAAGAAATCTGCTATCTTAAATCTGGAATTCTGTCCACACACACTAGGAATAACTCCCCTAGTACAAACAAAATGAGATTTATTTCCAAATAAAGAGGCCAAGGATGAAGCTGCAATTAGGTGTGCTTTTTTTATGAGGAAATCAAAAAGGGCAGATTATTTATCCAGCCCAGTATTACCTATTCTGACAACAGTGAACTGGGTTCCAGTATTGAAACTTTTGAGATGGCACAGATTAAACGTAGAATTTTCTGCGTTCCGAACAAACTTCCACAAAATATTATTGTTTTACATTATTTTTTATTTTTACATATTGATGGTTACTTTACTGCATATGGAGTAAATATATTTTACTGCATATGGAGTACTGGAGAAAGTTGCATGACATACTCAAATGCATATTCATGTATATTGGCACAGCGGTCCTCCTAGTATCACTAGATGGCACATTACTGGCTATGGCTTGAACTGAGAGATGAAGTTACACAAGAATTAGATGTCTCAGAGTATAGCTAGAGGACGACAACTCTCCTGAAGTTGTCTAGATGAGAGATGTAAAGCAAACTTTCTACAAAAGAAAGCTACTGCATACTATACTTACTCCCAAATAAACTGTCCTTGTCCAAGCATGAATCAGGTCCTATGATGCTACTCACACACTTTGGGTAGACTGCTGACATATAAGCTTTTGCATTTTAATGCTCTTAATTTACACGAATCACCAATGTATTTCGAAATTCCAGAAAGGGCAACAGTGAAATATATTGGAGCTGAATTATAAACTTCCTCATTATGCTCCAAAGAGCTTTTCAAATTGCCCAAGTCAGTGATAATGGAATTATGGTAATCACTTACTGCCACTATTAATAAATAAGGAGGACATTACTTTTGACTGTATTATACCTCTGTATTATTATTTGGATGCAGAAAAGAATCTACAAAATTTCAAAGCAGTCACAATATTCCTTGTGCCAAGCTAGTTTGAACAGAAATTTCTATTGCATAGCTGCCAACTTGTAGTTTGACATTTCTCTATAGCCTCCAATGCCATTGTAACTGACACATGGAATTGTTTATAGTATCTTAATGCAACATATTCATGTTTGCCAAAAATGAACCTTTCCAAGGGCTTGTCAGTTGCCATAAGAAATAATTGTAGTCACAATCATACCTAAGTCTACTGCCATAGACCAATTTTGGAGATGTTTCCTGGATATGATAATAGTCTGTGTGTGTTGCCTCGGAAAGTTTGATTATGTTAAAGTCACAAAGAACTGAGGAAACACATTAAAAATGGTGGTTATGTTAAAGTGACTGTAACTCATAGTCTTTCTACTAAAAATGTGTATGTATGATGGTATTAGATTCAACATGTTCAAATATCAGTAATCAGAGAGAGATTATGCTATGACTGTTGCAAAGCATAGCATGCCACCTTAAAGGGTGCCCTAGCTAGCTATTCTGTGACATTCATTCATTCATTCATTCATTCAATCAATTCAAATAATAAATGACACACTGGGCAGAATTGAAAATTGAAAATCCAATACAAATACAAAAACACTAGCCCATGATGCCAAAGTAAATGATACATAACAATAATAAAATCTCATCAACAATAGAGTTTGTCTAACCTCCTGGACTTGGAAAGAGCCAATCCAACCCAATCTTTAGTGTGAAATCTTTCCAAGAAAACTGCAGGGACATCCAGGTAGCTGCCTGGAATAAAAAACCTGACTTGAAGATACAAACATGCACAGAGAACCCGGGCCAGGCACAGAATTTTATCTCTTTGGCATTAGAGGTTTAAGCGCACATAGTTTCTGATCTATGGATAAATTTGCTATTCCTGTCTTTACCATGAAAGCCAGCTGGGTGTCCTTGGGCCAGTCACTCTCAGCCCAAATCACCTCACAGGGTTATATAATAATAGTAGTAAAGTTGGAAGGGACCTTGGAGGTCATCTAGTCCAACCCCCTGCTCGGGCAGGAAACCCTACACCATTTCGGACAAATGGCTGTCCAGTCTCTTCTTAAAAACTTCCAGTGTTGGAGCATTTACTGCTTCTGGAGGCAGCTGTTCCACTGATTAATTGTTCTCACTGTCAGGAAGTTTCTCCTTAGTTCTAGGTTGCTTCTCTCCTTGATTAGTTTCCACCCGTTGCTTCTTGTCCTGCCTTCAGGTGCTTTGGAAAATAGCTTAATTCCCTCTTCTTTATGGCAGCCCCTGAGATATTGGAATACTGCTATCATGTCCCCCCTTGTTCTTCTCTTCGTTAAACTAGACATACCCAATTCTCGCAACCGTTCCTTATATGTTTTAGCCTCCAGTCCCCTGATCATCTTTGTTACTCTTCTCTGTACTCTTTCTAGAGTCTCAACATCTTTTTTACATCGTGGTGACCAAAACTGGATGCAGTATTCCAAGTGTGGTCTTACCAAGGCATTGAAGAGTGGTATTAATACTTCGCGTGATCTTGATTCTATCCCTTTGTTAATGCAGCCTAGCACTGTGTTGGCCTTTTTGGCAGCTGCCGCACACTGCTGGCTCATATTTAAGTGATTGTCTACTAGGACTCCGAGGTCCCTCTCACAGTTACTACTATTGAGCATGGTGCCACCTATGCTGTACTTGTGCATTTGGTTTTTCTTGCCTAAATGTAGAACCTTGACATAGGAGGAGGAAGATGTGTTGTATGTGTTCATTTCCTTGAGTTGTAAAAACAATAAAGGGCAATAAAAACAAACAACAAATAAAAGTATATCATCTTTAAAAGCCCAAAGCTCTACTGTCAGTTTCCAAAGTAAGATGAAAGCATTAGGTTCTTTTCAATTTATGTTTACAACTTTCATCTCATTGAAAGAAAAAAGCAAGAGTTTATGCCATCCCTATAGAATTAAGCTATACATACTATCTTGCGTACAGCTGCTCTACTGTACTTAACAATCTTTGACCTGTTGGATCACTGTTTCAGAAATATTTCCTTTTTTAAACAGAAACAGAATGACTAAGAGCAAAAAACCCAGCAGCAATGGAAATGACTTCTGATTTCTTGCTGGCTTGACTCCGGCTGTCAGTTTACCTGGCCTCAGGAAAGGATTGGTCTACTGATACTCTGGGCGGTGGCTGGGCAGCATGGCAGCACTAAAACCACAAATTGGAAATATAATAAATAATAAGATATATTAAACAATACCTGAGACTAGTAGTATATCATACTGAGTTAAGAGTTTAAGAGAAATTCAATACTTTGCATTTATTGAGGGAAAGAGTGAGTTTAAATAAAGATGGGAAGCAGAGATTTTAAGACACAATTTACTTTAATGGAAATATATGAATTCAGCCACTGACAGGAAAAGCAGAAAAATAAAAATGTAGTTTTAAAGCTGCTTGCCACAGCTTTAAAATGTAGCATTCACACATATCAATGCTAAAATGGAGGCACTGGATGTAGCTTAGGTGGAGAATAAAGGATGCTTTCTATATGAGAAAGGCGAATACAGTGTTGGATCTTTTTTGCTGGCTAATATAGCTTCTGGCTTAGCTTCTTTTCATTAAAGAAAACAGGATAGAATGAGAGAAAAACATTGCTCAACTGAGCAGGAATTCTAATTTTTCTCTTCTGACCTGCTGGATAATTGAAGGCCATTTTTACACATTCCCTAGGCCCTAGGGAATTTGCAAATTAAAAAAACAAATATTCACTACAGGATTTGGGCAACTAACAGTAAAGGATCAGACAGAAGAAAGATTTCCCTACTTTTTCTTCTTAGTCTGAGGGAAAATAGAAAAGAGATTTTTTAAACATAAAAGATTAGCGATAGGATATTGTCAATAATTATTCTAATAAAAAGTGTTACAGTACTGATTTAGCAACATCAGCATAAGAAAAACTGGAATTAACACTTAATCAAGTGTCTCAATAAAATGCATGTACATATGTGAATAAAACAACCCTTCTCTTTTGGTTTGAACAGGAAGTTAAAATTAGCATAACTCTTACTTGGTTAAGTACTTCTTTTCTTACCTTCAGACAAGATATGCAATTTTATAAGCCTTAATCACAGGATGGAAAACATATTGAAAATGTTTGCATAAGCTGACATTCAGGTCTTGGAGATATCTTGCCTAAATGTTAAAAGTTTCTTCTTGTGGTTTTAACAAAATGAAATAGAAACTCTCTTTTCAATTGGAGGCTATCTTTACCCTACCTGGGCAAAAATTACCTGAGAATTCCCTTTCCTGCTGAAGTACCCTGTGGTAATATCCAGTGGGCCAATACTCTCCTACCTATTACATTTAATTTTACTTTATTTATATCCCACCTTTATTATTTTTAGAAATAACTCAAGGCAGCAACCTTCTTCCTATTTCTCCCACAACAGCTACCCTGTGAATTGGGCTGAGAAAGAGTGACTGGCTCAATAAATGGTCAAAGATTATCATAATGGATGAAATGCAACAGGATGCTTTTCTCCACCAAAAGATAAGAAAGTGTTTCTGCCTTGGGTAAAATATGATTAATACTTGAACAACAAGATCAACTTCTAATAGTACTTTAATTTCTAATTCTTTAAGACATCAAGATTTGAAAGAAGGGAAATAAAATTATATCCTAGTACATGAAAAAAATTGTTAAGAATTATGGAAAATGCAAGATTTCAGTTCAGTGTCAAGTTTGGACTTTTTGTTAGATTTATATCCTGTCTTTCTTCCAAATAGGAACAAAGGAATGTGGATGTGCTAGAGAATGTAGATATTTGCTTACTTACTAAAATCATCAAATTGTCAAAAGGACTTTCTAGACATACTGAATGTAATTTTTCTTCAGCAAAGGCTGCCATTATCTTGCTAAAATTCAACAATCATTCTCCCAAATTGGGAGGCTGAGAGGTTTAAACAATTTAGGTCTTGTCCTCTTTGGAAAGATCTTCACCAGTCCTATTTAATATTTTATTAATGGCTTGCTCAGAGACAAACACTGAGCCAAATTGGAAGATACATTAAAAGGATGGATAAGCCAAACATTTCCACAAATAATCACTATTTCATAAATGTGCCTAGTATGCATTTAATGCATTTAGATAATAGATGCTCTTTTTAAAAACTTCAAAAGTAACTTTAAATTGTTTATCTTCTTTTAAGATTTTTGGAACAAGTTCATGGGTCTAAATCCATTTCCCCTTTAAATAAGATATACAAGCGCAATAAGAACTTCCCTGATCCATTCTTTTCAAGAATTTGTTAAGAAGCATTGAAATATTACTCTCATGGCCAGAATAAATCTTAAAACAAAGTGGGGTGGTGACCTCTAAAAAGAAGCTTTTGAATGTATTTTTTCCCCCACTACCACTACATTTATTAAACAAAATTGTTGCAGGTTATTAACTGGATTTCCCCCCCCCTATAAATCAACATTTCTTGGAAAATGCTCATTTGAAGTGTGCTTCTAAAGCACGAGTGGCAAATTCACGTCACATGACGTCGTGACATATCGTGATTTTTTTCCCTATTGCCGCCAATGGGATATGCACGGTTTTGGCCTGACGCATCTGGCCCGCAGGCCGGCAGTTTAACACCCTTGTTCTAAAGGAAACCCATGTAGGTGGCAGTACCTAAGTAACCTTGATTAAACTTGGAAAGTTAAACATGGTTGGATCTGGTTAGTATTTGGACAGAAGACTACTAAGAAATACCATAGCTAGTATGTTTATGGCAATGGTAAGCCATTTCGATATTATTACTAAAAAAAGATGAGGACATGATTATGAAATCAAGAGTTTTTTCCCATAGGAAGATTGGGAATAAATTATGTTTATATAGTTTTATATATTTTTTATTTTATATTACATTATACTTTATAGTATCTGACTAAACCTTATGTTAAGTCCATTTCCTTTAACCATTTTGTAACATTACCCAATTATTTTTAATTTATATTTAGTGTGCCAACCAAAATTACTGTCCAGTCTTCTTGATATATAGACTGTAATGTTTCATTATTTCTATTTAAGTTGGTCATAAAAAGAAACAGCCCAAGTGCTGACAGTCTTTTCAGAGTGGTTTGAAACATCCTTAAATAAGAGGTGACATTACAAATCAACATTGCTGAGACAATACAAAGTCTGACTCCCTAATTATATCAGTACAGTGATTGGATGGTGCAGTAAAATTGCTATAGATCCCATTGTCCATTGATTAAAGAGTGTCATCCAATGTGAACCAGTAAGTATGCCTTCTCTGCTGTAGTGCCTTAGCACTATTCCACCACAATCTTGCTGGCCTTTCAGTAAGCTCTTAAGATTTGGCTGTCCTCAAGCATGAGGGTCAGGAGGTCATTGAGCCTGTGAGGCGCTATTAGCTTACTGCTGATAGTTTCTCATCAGTTGCTGTTGTTTGCTTGTTTTTTTAAATTGTTTGTAGTTATATTGATGTTTTTATTGTTCTTGCTGGCCAGAGTTGCTATGAGATAAGAGAAGCCATATAAATAGAATAAAATAAATAATCCACTGAAGAAATGAGTATACAGTCCAGCTTGCTATGTTATACTTTTGCTATATTTTAGAGTATGGACTCAGGAAGAATGCTAACTCAGTTTAGTTTGTGTGCTGTAAAATACAAGGATAGTTAGACTGTGAATTTAATATAATCATTTTTTTAATGACAGTACTTCAGTGTATACAGTACTGTGCCTAAATTCCAAAATTAAGGTTCCACAACACCCCAGATTAAAATAATTCTTCCAGGCTTTTGCATAACCTAAATAGCATATTAGGGGAGAGGGAGGTTTAATCAATCTACCCATTTTCTTTCTGAGAAAGATCAAATTCCATCAGGAATTTGTCCTAATGTTGCCGTTTTCATTTGTGGCAGTCTTATGGGAAGCCAAAGTGTTAGGGTGAATACACATTCCTGGATGTTGTGGTGCACATCCTGACAATTCCCCCATGGATTTTATTTTTTTTTTTTAAAAAATCAATTTTAACCAAAAGGAAAAAAAAAACCTTCAAGAATTTCAGCTTTCCATATAAAACCTAGGACTAACTCAATACACAAATTGTATTCTATTGATGTCTAGAGGTGATAAAATGACTGGAGAAAATGTGAGGGATCAGACATCTCAGGCAAGCACAATTTAAAAGTTGTAACAGCGGTTATAGAGGGGCTCTAGTCTAGACGGGGTTTAGCCCAGAATTAGTCTCAAAATAATATCTCATATAATTTCTGGGAAGGTAATAGGCTTATGCTATTAAGACGGCAAGTGGGGTGAGGTTTCAGCATTTTAAATATAGTAAATAGGCTCAACTGGATACGACCCTTTGGACGAATGACAAGTAAGAGTTGGGATGACAATGCCTTAATGAAGGGCTTCTTTTTCATTCAGGGCATCAAATCCCACATGAGGTAACCGCGGACAGAACGAGAACTGAACCCGCCTTCCTATCAGGCTGCTGCCCGGCTCCCCGCACTCTCGCGGCCTCCTCTGTAAAACAGGGAGTGCAGTAACCTCAACTCCGCAACCCAGAAGTCGGTTCGAAGGACCAAGGCCCCAAATACACTTGGTCGGATAGACTTCCTCGTAAACCATAACACGCTACCGACGAGGAAGCGAAGCAGGGGCTGGAGTTCAGGAGGCGGAGAGCAGAGTCCCCCTCCCGCTCAGCGCGGCGGCGCCGTAGTCTGCACAGAAAGCACCAACGAGGAAGCGCCTGGAAGCTGGCGGGCGGCGACGGCGGCGGCCTCAGCGGCGCCCCACGCCAAACTCTGAAAGCCCGCCGCCCGCCTCTGCTCCTCCCACTCTCTCAACCGATCCTGCCGTGACGCCTCCATTGTGTGCGCAGCGGCACCGGCTCCCGGCGACTGTTGTATCCGGCCGGCGCCTTTTTCTCCAACTCCTCCTTCCTTTCCCCCCTCCCCCTTTCCCGTAGAAACTGCCGTGGCCGCCGCCGCCCCTCCCGCTTCTCCTTTTCCTTCAGCCGGGCGCCCCCCGCCTCGCCGCCTCATCTTCGGTGTCTCCCCCTCCCTTTCACTCGATGACGCGATGGCAACGGCCAACTTCGGCAAGATCCAGATAGGGATCTACGTGGAGATCAAGCGCAGCGATGGTGAGCCGGGGAAGGGGGAGGGGAGGAGGTAGAGGATAGCAAACCGATGAATGGGTGGAAGCTATGCCGGGGAAGCTGAGTGGAAGGGCCGTCCTCCGCAGTAGGCACGGCCGGGGCCGAAGGTGGGCGCGGGCCCCGAGAAGGACCGGTGTCGGCGTGGGGGCCTGTGGCGTCGGCCGCGGTCGTTAAGGAGATTTTTATGTCGCCTCTTGCGGCGCAGATGGGGCGGTGAGGCACCCGGGGTGGCAGACGTGCGCTGTCGCCGCTGGAGACGGCAGAGAAAGAGGGAGGTTGCTGCAGTGCCGTGGGGAAGGGAGGGCGCGGAGCCGCGGGGAGGATTCGGGGTGCAGAGTTGTAGGGGAAGCTGCCTCAGGGCTGGGGAAGCACAGGAAGGGTGTGGCCGGGGGCCAGGGAGGCCGCGGCCGGCCAGTTGGAAGGGCTGCACGCGAAACTTGGGGTAGCAACAGGAGTATTTTCGGCGGGCGATGGGGAAGCATGTGCGGAGAATGCAGGCAAGTCTTCTCCAAGGTGTAAACCTGTATTCTGAAGCCCGAATACGTGTAGTTTTCCTTCTATTAAAAAAAGCAAATGGAGTGACATCCCACTATTGAGAACAATGCCTTATAGTGCAGTATTTCACTAAATAAATGGAATTCCTACCCTCTCGTTGTGATACCCGCATATTTGCATACTACTCCCCCGGGGAGGATGAAGGTCCTGGGTCGATCCCGCATTTTCCATTTCTGCCCTGTGTCTCGTGGCAACAGTGTGTGAAAAGCTTTCTAGATGCGGGTGAAGTTTGTAGGCGTGGGAAGCTTTGGTGAGATTACACTTGCCTAGTGTGGATACAGCTGTGGAGGGTTGCGTGCAAAATGAATCTCTTGCTCAGCCATGATGTGTGAAATGCCATTGGATGTTCCTAGTTATTTTTGATGACGCTGGGATGAGTCAGTTTTAAATTCGTTCTAGAAGGGTACCTATCGGATACTGCTTAATATTTGCGAAATTCAGGAGCTCATCACATGTCTAGAAATTAGGTTTTCATGATTGGTCTAAAAGGACTAAGAAATAAATACTATTGTTAATTATGCTTTCTCTTTCAGCATTTCTGTTTGCACTTAATACACTTTTTACTCTGCAGTTTTTACTGCAGATACTCATTGTTAGAGTTTGTCAGAGGAACCTATACAGTTAACCAGACTTAAACAAATGAATTGGGTTAAAATTCTTGGTTTTGTTATATTTTCAAAGGAATTTGTTCTTTATCACAGGTGATAAAAATGAGTATATGTCTTAATAAATGTTTCTGTCTGGGGATCATAGTAATTTTTTAAAAAAATCTTGTATTCTACCAATTATAAGAAATAAAATTATAGAGTTGCTTACTACCACCAGTGGAAAGTGGGATGAATGGAAATCCGTGATGTTTGGTTGGATAGTTCCTTGACTGGCTTTAAATAGCTTAATATTTATACTATCAAATACTTTTAAATATTTTTTTTATTTTTGTAAGGAATCCTAGGTTTAGATATTTCTGTTTTGTGGAGGGTCATTGTCAGCCATCTGCTGCCTATCTTTTGAATTTGTTTTTAAAATTAGTTGACTTGTTGCCTGCTGTTTGGAAAAAAGTGTAAATGCTAGCTCACAAATATAACTTTTGGTTGGTTTCATTCCTTCTAATTCTATAATGAAGCAGGAATTGGAACAACAATTTTTAACTTTAAGCAGGGAAGTTGAAAAAGCATTCTGAAAGAATTTAGAAGCAAACAACTTCCTTTCTGTTGCAAAGAAAACATAGATCAGGGGTGTCAAACTTGCACAGTCACGTGACGTGTTGTGACATATTGTGACTTTTTTTTCCATAGCCGGCAATGGGGTAGGTGTGGTTTCAGAATGAAGGCAGTTTGACATCCCTAACATAGATGAATCCATCATCAGCCAAGCTCAGCGTGGATGCATTGCTAATATAACCATGACTTGCAGCTTTAAGTCATTTATGGAATTAAGAAATAGTAGAATATATATGCTGGTGAGATTCAGACCTTTGATATCCCTTTGTAATAAGAGACAGCACATACTTATTTTAAAAGATTTTTTTCACTAACAATGATAGTTTACAGGTAGTCCCCACTTGCTGACCACTTGTTCAGTGATTATTTGAAGATAATGTACAATGGCGTTGAAAAATAAATCTTATGATTGGTGTTTGAAGTTGTGGCTGTCATATCCCCATGGTCATGTGATTGTGATCTGGGCCCTTGGCAACCAGTTCACATTTATGACGGTCACAGTATCCCATGGCTACATGATTTCCATTGTGACATTCACAGCTGACTTTTGGCAGGCAAAATAAACAGGGAAGCTTAAAGGATGCAGTCATGTGATGTCACTCTTAGTAACCTGCGATGATTTGCTTAAAGACCATACCTGGAACTAACCCCTTAAGTTGATATCACATGCTATCACTCTTAACTACCATGCCATTTAGCACCTGGAAATTTGTATTGTGCTTGGTGAAGACTACCTGTATAAATGTTGATTAAATATTGGTAAAGAATTGAATAATAGTTTTTATTGTTTAAGCCTGTTTAACTTATTGCATTGTGTTTAGATGTTTCCAGATGTAAATTGACTAAAGTTTGTACTGCAGCAAAGTTACCATTTATAT